ATGCACTGGGGCGGTTTGCAGCCGAGTGTGAAGCGGCTGGGGTGGGAATCAGCACCTCCAAATCCGAGGCCATGGTTCTCAGTCGGTAAAGGGTGGCTTGTTCCCTTCAGGTTGGTGGAGAGTTCCTGCCTCAAGTGGAGGAGTTCAAGTATCTTGGGGTCTTGTTCACGAGTGAGGGAAGGATGGAACAGGAGATTGACAGGCGGATCGGTGCAGCTTCTACAGTAATGTGGTCGATGTACCGGTCCGTCATGGTGTACTCTGCTCATGCCTTTGATGATGCAAATGTGTGTGAATGTAGTCATTATAGACTTCTATCGATCCCTTTCTTTTCAGCAGTGAGGTCTACATACATCTCACACACACACACACACACACACACACACACACACACACATACTCCAACCTCACATGTACTGTAGCTGCCGAGCAGAAAATTGATCAGTGACACGCAACGAGACTCCATATGAAGTCTCTTCTGTCTCTTAACGCTCCCTGGGGATGGTGGATGTTGCTTTTCAGCTTTACCACTGCTTCTCCTCATGGATCTGTCTGAGGAAGAGTGTGGGTTCAGGAATGTTGTGAGAGACAAAGAATCACAATCCAGGCAACCAGGCGCAGCCTCACTCAGTTTGGAGCCTGGGATGTGTTTGAGAAAACGGTAGGCAGCCAAATCTTAAGACATTCCTGTGGCTGACATGTACAGCAAGAAAACATTAGCCTCGTTTAAGTGGAAACAAAACATGTTTCCTGTTTTTTCCACTGACATGCACTGAGTCCTATGTTGACAGATTTTTATTTATTTATTTATTTTGTTTGTTCACTTCTACCTCGCTTTACTTCTATTCAGGAGTAAGCGGTATAGATAATGGATGGATGGAGATTGTTTTCTAGATGTTTGACTTAATCCAGCCACTCATTTACTACATGGGCCGCTAGTGAACATTCATCTTGTGCGAGTTGAGCGCGGTGGCTCACGGGTTTCCCACGGCCAGTCTAATCCAACAGTGCTGCAGTAAATCCTCCTCCATGAAGGCAATAATGCTCTGCCTGTGTTCAGACTCTGTCACAGAGGTGTTGATTCAACTGTGTGATCAGTTTTCACCCTGCAGTTTATTCTGCAGTTGAATTGGATTGTGTTGTACTGACAGGCTATTTTGTCCACCCTATTTATATCAGTGAGGCTTGGCTAAATAACAAAAACATCTCTCCAATTACTGCATGATAAATGGAATCAACAACAAGCAGCTGCAGGAATTTTGTTTTTTGTGTACAAGCAATTATTTTGTATATTGATTTGCTTTCTTTTTCCAAATTATTGATGGTTCAGTTAACAAATCTAGACAAAAACAGCCTGACATTATTGCAGCATGAATTAGCTAAAATAAGAAAGTGCTGCTTGGTTTCAGTAATGTTCATTGATGAAGTTAAGATGAAGTACATGTTATTCTGCAGTTTAACAAGTTTCTGGAAGAAAAGACAATCAGAGTGTCAGTATAAAGTATTCCCCTGAGGAAGTTTCTTATTGGTGTTTTCTGTCTTTTGTTAGACACACAGTCAATTTGTTGTTATTTCTGAGGAGTTAAGGAAACGGCTTCAGAAACTTTTTGTCTTGTAGCTGGTGATTGTTATTCCTCGTCGGCGTGTAGACAGCTGTTAGCAAGCCTCCGATTGTTTTCCCCTTCCTTCCTTTTAGCTCCATTGCTTATGTAATGCTCTTGTTCTCCATTTCACTTTTATTATTCAAATCTCAGTTTGGTGACAGAAGGTGTGTAGGAGGCTTTTGTTCTGCTACTTTTTACCTTCGTTGCTCAAAGTACAGGATATAATGTAAAATATGACATGTTATACTTTTCCAGCCATCACTTGCTTTTGTGCACGCCATCACTCTTTGCTGCATAGTGTCTTTTACCTACCTTTCTGCTTCACTTCTCTGGTTTATGGATTAATCTTGTCTTGTGTTGGAAACCAGACCTGTGAGCTGCAGCTGAAGGATTCACGACCTCAGTTTCACAAAAATCTATGTCTTATTTGAGGATCCAATTTGAACTGGGTCATTTCTTTATTAGATGAATTTGGCCCGAGGCTTTGTGTATCGCTCCCATCTCTTCATGTCAGCTGCAGGCTAACTACATAAACTTCAACTCAACCTTCTGAAATAATTAGCTTCAGTTTCACGTCTGCAGTCAGATTTGGACGTTCGGGGCCTTCCTTTGATTTTTCAATCCCAGCCTGATTGTGAGTTACTGTATTTCCCCTTATGAAACAGGCTTTCATTGGCTTATGTGACAATTTCATCTGCATACTTTTTTCAGCCTTCCAATGAAGTGTATACTCTGCCTATCAATAAATAAGTTCACATTCTTTGCTTATAAGAGTGTGTGTGCCCACCTACGAGTGCATTTATTTGACAAGTAAACGCTTTTTAAAATGGTGAGAGCTGTGGTAATTGTGTTTAATGTAGACCTGGATGACTCGGGGAACAGGGACTCTGTTCAGGCTATGCTTTGGTGACTCAGACTTGACTCTAGTGACTCGACCTCACTGCCAGCAGAGTAAAGATTTCACATATTCAGTTACATATCCTATTGTTTTATAAAAACGTTGGTCCAGTGAAGAGACAGAAACATGAGCTTCTTCCATGAAGTCACAGGGACATAAGCTTAAGCAGTTTGAAGTGCAGAAATCAGTCTCATTGTTTTACCCTGACTAATATACATAAAGATAAACATAGTCTGTAGTCAACACTCAGTCAACGGTTTCATCTTTAGGTCGTGATTAGATCAGATATTTGATTTTTAATTGTGACATTAGTTCCCCTCCCCCATGGTGAGAACAGGCACCATCCATAATGACGTTTACCCTAGAAATAGCCTGGAGCTAATGCAATTAGCAGCACAAGGTACAGCTAAATCTTGGTGCTGTTAACTTAAACTAAAGCCTTTTAAACCCTCCAAGCACATGTGTGCATAGGACCTTCATGCTCTCTCTTGTGCACTCCACAAGACTGCATGAGGCAGTAACCTCAGTTCTTTCTATGTGAAACACAGATGAAGCCAGGTAACTAATGCTTTTAAAAACAGAGGATGTAGCAGGTAAATTGTATCATCTACACAAACCACAGTTATGCAAGTGAACTTTTAAGAACTTCATATTTTCTGTTTGTGCAGGAGTTTGTTTTTGACTGGCGTCTCTTGCTTCTGAATGAGCTGCTTCTACTGGTGTCACTTGGTGTCCTCAGGTCCTGTTGCATCATATGTGTGGCATGCTGGCTGCTGCCAGACGTGTCCGATCCATTTCCTTTCACTGATTTTGACATGTTTCTCTAATGAGCTGCCTTTCAGTGTGTATTCAGGGAGGCAGTCGGTGTGGAGATGAACTCTGCATCAATATACTTTAAGGTATGAGAGCAGTACTCTGAGGAATGAGTGTACTCATCTTTCTTACAGTAAAAGTAACCTGAGTCATAAAAGTGACTCTTCAAGCATTTGGTGTGGTTTTTTAGAAATTAATTCTCAGGTGTTATGAAGTAATTGATCTGTGAAGCCGGACCCATGTCTCAAGGTGAGATTTAAGTTGACTAACAGAGCCTGACAGCATGTTTAGGTCATGTGACTTCTGTTTGTTGATGTCGGCTCCTGAGAGTCCAACAAGCTAGAAAAGAATACCTTTTATGAAGATAAGCTGAGGTAGCCTGCATTTTGATCATGGTTTATTTTTTTTGCCTTTAGTGGGTCACAAAGAGGCAGGAAAGAAATGTGGGGAGATGGACACGAGAGAGAAGTGGAGAACTATAACAAATGTCCTCCAATCTAAATGACATCCACCAAGGCATCCTCAGTGAATAGTCTAACTAAATAAATAGAGAGGTTCTTCTACACATCACAGTTCAGAGGTTACTGCACAAAATATGTAGTACTTAATACAGTGGGCCACAAATTTAGTATAAAAGATAAAATTGAGTTCTAGGATGTTAAATGCCCCTCACCAAGTTTTGTGATTGTTTTCTCCTAATCAGTTTTAATATTGTATCAGTCTTCACTTCCTATGCTCCTAAGTTGGAAGTAAAGACCAATGACAGACTATTTGATGGTCTGATCAGTTGTAGAAAGGGTTGATTTTAATGTGAATTGTCAAGTGAGTGCCCACCTGGTATTTATCAGATATTAAAGTTTGCTCTTGGGTATGTAACTGTGTTTGGTGTGGTGGATTAGGGAGATCCAGTGGAGATCCAGTAAGGTTTTAAAAGGAGAAGTGAGGAAATGAAATAAGGGGAGGGGAAAGTAAAACACGGAGGGGAGAGCACCGTAGGAGAAACATGAGAGAAAATGAAAAAAGTGGAGAAGTGGTGTGTTTAAAAGTAATCCAGGAATGAAACCAGAATAACAGGAAACGAGTGAGGAGAGGGTATAATGGCGAAGCAAGCAGCACTCAATGAGTAAAGATGTCTTAGTGAATAGAAACAGAAAAAAGATGCAGAAGAGAAGTAAACTGTGGCAGAGAGGGATTCTTAGAAAGGCAGAGCAGAAGCTTATAAAGAGGGAGAGAGAACAAATGAATCTGCATCACTACAGTTGAATAATACAAACATACCAAGGACAAGGGGCATATTTCCAGCAGAGCTAGCTAACAGGAACAGAGAGAGAAAGAGATGTAGGTTCAGCTAGAACATCTGGGGCTTATGAAAATGGCCCGTGTTCAAAAGAGAAGCAACTTCTGGTGAAAATTTATATTTTACTTGATGCTGCACTTGAATAATTTTGCAGGACTATAACAAAAGAAAACATCTCGGATATTACTTCTCTCAACCTCCTGGGTTTCTTCACACCAAGATACCCACTGAGTCTTCTGTCTGAGTGTGCATTACCACCTTCTCTTTGTAGACTCAAATTTCTTATGACAGGAAGGCAGGTTGATGTTGAGAACAAGAGCACAACAGGAGAGACGGGTTCAAAAATAAGCTGTGAAGGAAACTTTGGAAGGCTGGTTATACCCCAGAACAAACACCCGAGTTTTTATTCTTGTCACCCATCTCCTATTCTCCGGCACATTCGCTGAACAAAACTGGGCTTCAGAGTGGAGGTTTTAGCTTTCTTTTACAAGTGTTGAGCACCATACCTCTAAGAAGTGTCACTTATATTTTGCTCCAGTAAAACCTTTTTGAACGTTGCATCCACTTTATGAATACAGATGCTTTGTTCCACATGTGGAGTGGTGGGGGAAAGAAATATATTAATAAATGTTGTCGTCAAAAAGGTGAAAACAGAAAATGGTAAGAAGATTAGTGAGGGTTGATTCCATCACTGAAGGCTCTTCAGCTGATCAAATAGAGAAAACATCTTATAAATGCTTTTATACTCTTGACAAATGGTACCTGTTTGTAATTCCATTGTGGAAACAGAAACCTGACACACCTCCTCACTTGTTCTGTTTTTCCTCTTGTGCTTCCCTATGTCCTCTCCGGTTTCCCCCCTCCCCCTCCGTCTCTGCCTCTCTCACTTTCAACTCCCAGCTCAGAACTGTTCAGGTCTGAGGACATGCGCAGAGTGTCTGGAGAGATCCGAGTGCGGTTGGTGTGGTGATCCCAGCAACACTGGTAGGGGCGTTTGCATGGAAGGCTCCTATCGAGGCCCCCTGAAGCCTGCAAGGGCCTGGCCCCAAGACCAGGACAGACTGCGAGACAGGGACATGGCGCTGGACCAGAGTCTCTGTAGCTCTGATAGAGGCTACAACTGGGCCTTTATCGACTGTGCGGGTGAGTGAACCACTGGACCTGATCAATATGTTCACTATATGTTGCTCAGGATACATTTTCAGAGTTCACATACAGATGGGTGACAAATTGAAGGAATAAACGGAATGGCCACTGGCTGGTCTGATGAGGATGAAAATTCATAGTCACCAGGTCTGAGCCCAGGTGAAAAGCTATGGGAGATGTTGGAGCGGTGTGTTAGACAGTGTCTCCACCACCATCATCAAAACACCACATGAGGGAACATCTGTTGTAAGAACAGTGTTCATCCCTCCTGGAGAGTCGGTGCCAAGGTGGAGCTGTTCTGGTGGCACGTGGTGGCCCAGCACCTCACTGAGACTCTTTGCATTGGGTTTTCCCTTTCATTTGTCACCTGCCTGTATTTCTATTGGCTACATTGAGGTGAATGAGTTTTTCAAAGTAAGCTGCTCACATGCACAGTTGACAGTGTCTGTCTCCTTGCTGAAATCAAAACACAACCTTATCCCAGCACAACTCATGTGAAGTCACCAGCACCACAAACTAATCTCCAAAGTTACCGTTAAGTCAAATCAACATATCTGTCAATAAAAACAAGTGCAACCTACCTGAACTTAGGGTTTATTGCAAGGCTGCTCTATTAGATCACCTCACTGGGATAAACTGCATCTTTTACTTTGTGTGTTTCCTGCCAGCGTGTCAGTGTAATGGTCACAGCAGGTGTGTGAACGGCAGCGTGTGCGAGCGCTGTGGGAACCTGACAGCAGGGACGCACTGCCAGACCTGCATGCCCGGTTACTATGGCGATCCTATCAATGGAGGGAAATGTAATGGTAAGTCCAAAGGTTCACCAGGCTTTACCAGACAGTGTCCATGTACTGTAAAATATCATCATTTTTATTGTCTTGTCCTCCTTAAGATAAAAATACTCATTTCTTAGGTGTTTGTAACAAGTTAATTCATTTGGGAAACACTACCTTTTGTTTTAACTGGCAAAATGTTTTTACAGTTCAGTTATAGATGACTAAATGTTTTGAAGAAAATCTCCTTTTCAAGCTACAGTAAATGTCATCTTTATTTCTCGCTCTGAATTCCTTTTAGAGAGATTCATTGAAAAGCTGACGGCGGCACACTGCCAACAGTCTGTCTACAACGTTGTAATAGGCACCAGCAAGCTGATGGGGGCAGTATTTATAAGCTCTGAGTCAAGTTTGTGCTTTGTGTAGAGTGTGAGAAGCAGAGTCCTGGAGCAGGGAAAAGGGACAGTACACACCCAGTCCGGACGGGACTGTGGTCTGTAGACGCTGAGGGACCAGCAGCTGAGTCTCTGCTTCTTGTAATTTCTAGTGAACAGCAGAGCGGTTTGTCTGAGGGAAACATGGTGCTGATGGAGGCAAATGCTCACTGAGACACACACATGCTTTATCTCTCTGTATTCGACTCTCAGCAGTTTTTTTGTGCTTTGTTTGGCTTCGTATGGAAATAATCAGTGTAAACCCAATGGTTGAAATTGTTTTCAACAGATTCTGTGTTAGATGATAGAAGGCAGAAGCCATAAGAAAAGTGTGTGTGCATATGATTTGAAGGCTCAGGGGGGCCTGGCTTTGGGAAGGTATATGGGCCCAGATGGGGAAAAAGAAATAGAAGAGTGTAATGACTGAGTGAGTGACTGCTGGAGTGTGGTGAGGAAGGCAGAAGTGAGGAAGAGCCGGTAACATCAGTCTTGCTGTGACTGATGTACATTTTATCTTGATGGCAGCGTGACATTAAATCGGTCTTAATCATTTTCTTATTTCCTGACTTGACTGGTGTCTCCATCCCTGGTGTTTCTCTCCGTCAGCGAGCTGCTGATAGAGGCACACCTTTCATCGCCTCCACACAGCCTCTGATACACCTTCTCTACTTTGGCTTTCTTTGGATTTTTTCTTTCACGCCTTCTCTCTCTTCTTCTGGCTTTTCTTTAACAATCCCTGGTCACATTTCCCCTGCAGTTTCTCTTTATGCCTCTATTATGCCTCCTTTTCTTCAGTTTTCCCTTCATTCTGTTACTTTTTCCTATTTTCCTTTCATTTTCTTTCCTCCCCTTTCTTTGACTTCACTCTCCTCTTTTCATGCTGTCACCTCCTCTTTTCACCTTTCCTTTTCTGACCTTTCTTCTCATCTTTATTCCTGGTTCAGACTACATGATTTGCTTGATACGATGGTCACTATGTCAGATTACACCATCACTTTGTTTCATTCCCTGCTCTTTTCACCCTTTCCCTTTTCTTCACTTCCCCTTTGTTCATTTCTTCGATTCTTCTCATCTTTTGCTATCTTTCCCTCTTTTACTTCGTCTGCACCTCGGTCATTCCCTCTTACAGCTCAGCATACTCTGTCTTCCTTGTCTCGTCATATGTCCATCAGTCCATTCATCTGTCTTTCTACCTACATCCTTCTCTATCTCTCTTTGTAAGAAGGACCTCTGGATTTACCTTGAGCTAAACGGCTGGGAGGTAATTAGAGTAGTGAATGATGTAGAGCAGGGGTGGGCAATTCCAGTCCTCGAGGGCCGCTGTCCTGCTTGTTTTCCAACTAGCCCTGCCTGACCTGCTGCTGATTACCTGGCTCAGGTGTTTTCAGCCAGTCAGAAGCTGGAAGATACCAATTCACTTTATCTTTCCTCACTCCACTTTCATCTAAGATGGTATCTTCCAGCTTCTGACCGGGATAGTTGGAAAACAAGCAGGACAGCGGCCCTCGAGGACTGGAATTGGCCACCCCTGATGTAGAGAAAGCTCTGTCCCCACCAGTGATGGGAAAAGCCTTGGCTCATAGGGTTTAAAGAGAATGGAAGTGGTGGAGTGAGAGAGTGGAGGAAACAGACACAATGAAAGGCAGAGAACAAGATAAACCATGTGGAGAGATGCAAGGTTAATATCGGGAGAAAGGACAGTCGCCCTTGGACAGAGACACAGTGAAGGAATAGAGGAGGAGATGAGGGATAAATAGAGGGGGAGAGATGGAGGACAGACAGAGGAGAGACGAGTCTGTCTGTTTCCATGTCCCTGTGACAGATGATTAACTAACCTTGTCAAATCTGGATGAAGTGTGTCTGTGTGTACACAGTCCCCTTCCTCTGACTGTACCTCTCACCTTGTCCTGTGCAAACTCCAGCACACTCACGACAACCTTCAGAGCTGCAGCTGACAATATGTTGGATGCCTGTTCAGACTTCAAGGCCCACAGAGGAGAACATGCACTGTAGACAGGAAATAGATAATGAGAGTTGAGGTGGATTTATGTGTCTATGTCGACGACTTACAGAGGCCACCGTATGTGAGACAACACTACGAAATGTTGCCGAGTTTGTTTCTCAGACGTGATGAGTTGCTGCCTTATTTTCTGCTTTATATCATTGTAAATTGAACACTTTAGAGTTTTACAGTCTATTGTCCTCAAAAACTAAATCAGACAATTAGGAGCCAAACTGATAAACTGTTGTTTACCAGGAATACCTGGTTTATATTAACAGGTAGAAGGGAAATAAACCTGGTTAATGTGTTAAAGCTGACAAGTGTCCTGGCTAATGGTGACTTACTAAAGTCTGTGCAGTCTGTATTGTGGGGATAATAGTGAATAGTCAGATTACATGGCAGCTGAATGTTAAGACTTTTGGAAATATCACATTATTTTAGTACACATACTGTAAATGTACCTTTGTCCTCTGCTGTGTACAAAGGATCTATTTTTAAGTACCTAAGGATCTTTCTGCTACTGATCAGTTTCGGTGAGGTACGAGTGGCAGGCAGACCACTGCTGCCCTCTGAATTGTCTTGTAGGCAAGACTTTAGCTTGTATTATTTCTGCTTGTGCTTGTTATCTTTTGCTACCCAGTGCTTCAGTGTATAATGCTCCTCTGCCATCGGCACCTCATGCTGAACAGTTTTATTGCTCCCATAAATTTTGCATGATTCACATCAGTAGCTCCCTGTCTCTGTCTCTCTCTGACACCCTATCTCTCTCCACAGTGCCTCAGTCGTTCTCTCTGTCTATGAAGACTCTGTCACTGTATGTGTCAAAGGTTGCTGGGTCTTGAGGATGTTTTCTCACTCTTTCATTGTTCTTTACAAGTGCAGCTCAGTTTGGTACTTGTTTGCTGTGAATACAGTAAATAAATGAAAATGATTAAAATAATAGCTCAGTGAATGTGTTATAGTGATTTTGAAACAACAAAGTCTTCAGGTGCAGATGATTTGTTTGTCTAATTCTGTAATGAGCAGTTTCAGCTCTGTACAGATATTTTGTTTCTGAGTGAGCAATTTTTTTTTCTAGCAAAATCCAAATAAGACAGGTGGCAGGTGTGTTTTGTTATTCTCTGTGTGGGGAACCTGTAGGACAGGCCACATTTTGAAGCTCTAAAGTTAGTTAAGCTGAATAAAAGCTGACGCTTGGACAGTTCTCCAGATCATTCACACCTTGACATGGACTAGAGGTAACCAGGTGGGTATGAGCATGTGATGTTACACTCCTCCCACCATAGTTGGTTAAGCCTGTACCTTTTTAAATGTTTGTGTTGATTGTTGTTTACCTGCAGTCTTATAGCACTGTATGTTCAACTGTCAATGCGTTTGACAGGTAACTGACAAGTTACTGATTTCGGTAAGGTACGACGACGACCTGTCCATTATACATGGATGCAACATTGTGCTCTTGCTCTTCCATCTGAGGCAGTGGGGAAAAAAATCAGCTTTTAGTACTTGATTAAGCCACCAGTGCTGCTGCTTTTGGTGAGGGTGGTTTTCTGCATTGTGTTCCAATAGATTATGATCAGCCCCCTGTGTCGTGTTCCTGGTTTTGAGGTTTGATGTACAGTCTGTACTGCAGGGTGTCACAGTAGGGGTTCTTTGTTAATTTGTGTTCCATGCAGAATCTATAGAGATGATGAGTGCTGTCTCTGCAAGTGGCAACCCAGCAGCATCAACCAGAGACCAGGACAGCAGGTGTGCGTGTGTGTGTGTGTGTGTGTGTGTGTGTGTGTGTGTGTGTGTGTGTGATGGATCCAACAGAACCAGCTGTTGCTCAGCCTTAGCAGCAATAGAGCAGCAGAAGATGCTGCCTGCAGAGTCCTCTCTGTGGAAACACTGCCAAACCCACTCTCACCTGCTGTCTTGTGTGTGTGTGTGTGTGCGCATGGTGCGTGCATATTTGTGCTTGTGTTTATGTACCTGTGGAGCCCTGTAGAGGACTCGCATGTTACCCAGCATTCTTAGCAGTATCCAGCCATCCCCCCTCTGGCAGCTCCGTTTTTGGCTTCTGACTGGCCAACATGTGGACGTACAGTATAAACAAACTGAAATACACACATACAAACTGTAAATATGATTTTATATGGCTTTTGAATCTGTTTCATCTGCAGTCAGTGCACATAGTGTCTGAAGTTTTTCTTCAGCTGTGACTCTTGTCTAGAATAAACGTCCTTGGAGACTGTGTGCTTTCATGTATGGTTTGCAGCTCAAATTAGCATTAACAGGAACACATTTTATAAAACTGGCTCATGTGTTGTTATGTATAAGTTAAGCAGAAGTGCTGAATGTAGTCAAATAAAGATTCTATCCTCCTCTGAGCAACTTGTTCCACAGTTGACCCACATATAATGATGACATTTCATATTAAAACCCAAAATACTGGGCTGAATGCAAACTTCACAGCATAAAGACTTTTAAATCAAACCATGTAACAAAGAGCAACAACCCAGCTTCTAAATTACTGATTGTCCTGGGAAGAGCAGGTCATGTTATATATCACTGAATTTGTACAACAACATAAACAGTGGGCTCTGAGTCCGTGCTCT